TTTTAATTAATAATAGTTTGAATTTTCTTAAGATCTATTATAAATCCATCATTTGAAATGATATATCCTGAGAAGTCAACTTGAGTAGTATAAAATATACACTTTTCTATCTTGGCATAGAATATTATATGTCTTAATTTTTATAATACATGACAAACATGAAATTCATATTCTTTTTTTGTTCTTAGAATAGAGTTAGATATTATCTAGGTAATAAATAATAAAGTCATTTAAACACTGTCAAAAGACATCATTCATTAGATGTTGGAAAGTTACTCCTATATTTATAGTTCTAAAAGGTAAGACGTTGTATTTAAAATGTCTATACCTAGTTCAAAATGCTTTCTTTCATTCATCTTCTTCTTTGCATATCAGATTGTATACTCTTTGTAGATCTATTTTTGTATAGATCTTAGCTTGATTCAACTAATCAAGAAGTCCAAATATCAAAGGTAGTGGATATTTATTCTTGATGGTGATTTTGTTGAGTCTTTGATAATCAACATACATTTGCAATGATCCATCTTTTTTCTTCACATATAAAACTAGAGCTCTTATTGTAGATTTGTAATGACATATGAATTTCTTGTCCAAATTTTCTTTAATATATTCCTTGAGTTCAATCAACTCATTTTATAATAAATTGTAGATTAGTCCAAATGATGGTTAAGCTCTTCTTTGAAAGTCACTTGAGCAATCATAAGAATGATATTCCAGAAGAGTATCTGCATTTTTTTTCTCAAATATAACTTGAAAATCTTGATATTGGCTTAGAATGTCATTTGAAAACTTTCTACTATTAGAAATAGGCATGGCATAAATGACACAAGGTAATCTTTTTTTTAAAGCATCATTTTTTATAGTCATTCATCACAAGAAAAATTATATTCTTGAAATAAAATAATGTTTAATACAAGATTTGCATGTTAAAGTAGGTCTTTAATTTTTCACTATTTTTTATTCTTGTGATGGCTTTTTGTAAACCTTGGACGTTTAGCAATATAATCATGAGTTGGTTGTTAATCATTAATAAAATCCAATATTATCATAAAGTTGGAGTCTTTTTTTTCCTCTTTGTCGAGGTTTGCATCAACTATTAGTTGGATGGTGTCTTTAAAGAGTGTCCTTAGTAGATTATTATTTGGTATAAACTTAAGTCTTTTTGTACCTCCAAGGTTTTATGCTAATATTTACTTTTTGGTATAGGCCAAGAGCCATATAAATATAGCTATGGATATTAAGATCTATTTATAGTTGAGTGGATTTTTAATCATTTTTTATATTATTATTGTAAATTAAAGCTGATATAATAGTATAGAAACTTGTCATTTCTATTAGTTGAAACCAAGAGTAGAACTAATTGATATCCTTCTAACTTAGAATTGAATTGATTCTTTTTATTTTTAGTATAAATTTTAACCGTAGATGAAGTATCATCTTCTTCACTAAATAAGTTAGGGCTTCCTCTTTTGTCCACTTAGTAATGTCTTTATTTTGTATTTGATAAAAGATAAATATTGGTTTAAAATCTCTATTAATATGTTCTATGATTGCTTCATAGATTTTAACTTTATTTCTTCTTATAAGTAATAAGGATATTATGATAAAATATATAGTTTTTCCTACAAAGCCATCAAAATTCAATGTCTTCTAAAATGTTTTGAAAATCCATGTACTAGAGTATACTTATTAATTATTTATTACTTGTTTTTAGAATAAACTTTACTTTGTAGTTGTGGTTTTATTGATAGATTATTATATGAATTTCAATCTTTGACTTGCCATGTAGTATGCTAGAAAAAAAAGATTGATAGGATTTTCTTTTGGATTCTTAGGTTGCTTGTGTAATAAATTTATTCTTAACTTGATGTTTGTGATGTATGCAGTTTAATTCTTTTTTATGCCAATCTTCTTTTTTTTTCTATTGGCCTTCTATTTGAAAAATAATCTTGTACTATGTAACCTCTAAATCTACATCTTATGTATTATATTAAAAAGCTACTATATTCTATTTTGAATTGGACATTCTTTTTTTTCATTTAGTTGTTGCAATGTTATTATCTTAGATAATGTTTCTTTACTTTCTATGAGGATTTTGATTTTGGATTTATAGGAATTTGATCTATATTTTTTATTTTCATCTATTAAGAAGACCTCACAAAAGTTGAAGAAGATGTTGATAAAATAGGATTTTATCCTTAGTTGATAGAAAAGTTTCATAATTTGTACCTAAAAAATTATTTTTGTGCCTTTTGATTCTATAAGGTTGTTTGTGTCAAAATAGAATGTCTATGAGGTTACTAAAATCTCTTCACCTTCTTGATAGAAAGATTATTTTGATATTGTGATGTTTCTATTTTTTTGTACAAATTCCATTTTAAAGTAGTTGTTGAATCTCATTGATAGAATTGAAAAGGATGTGTGAAGCTTTTGCAAAGGCCAAATTATTAGTTTGTGTACTCTTGGATTTTTGCCTACAATTTATTTCAATATTATAAAGTCCTATGCTTGTAATAACAAGGCTTTGTATTTTTCTAGTTTTTTTGGATTTAAAATTACTCCATATATTAATTTTTTTTTTTAAATCTTAATTTTTTAATGTATATTTTGATTCTAATATTTTTTTCTTATTTTTATTTTTAAGGATTAATTTTTATGGAATTTCATGTATTACTAGTTGTTTTGATACAACTAATATCTTGAATTTCAAAGATTGCTTCATTCTTAATATATCCTTTGATTTTGGAATTCAAGCATTTTGAAAAGAGCAATCACTTGTGAATCAGATGTTGGCCATGCCTTTTGAAGTAGTTCACCTATAGTGTCAACAACTATTTGTTTTAGTATTGAGTCTAAGATCTCATATGTTTGATACTCTTTTATAAAGAATTCTTCTAAGCTTGAAAATATTTTTTTAAGTAATTTTTATAAGTCGTCTAATTTTGTGGTTGTATATGCAAGTCTAATGTTAGAGTGTTGATGTTTTAGCAAATCTTTTAGTGTTTTTTTTTCTTATATTTATTTTTTGAGTATAAAATAAATTTCTTTATGTAAGTAGCTCTACAATGAATTTGATTTGATTTTTTCAGCAATTGTCTTTAATAGTAGGTATAGTGTTCTATCTAGTGATTATGCAATAGGAGCTTCCATTAATTTGTAAACAATATTAAAGATACTTACCTCATTCTCTACAAGATTCATGTTAATTGGTTGTTTGATTTGGAAATAGTTGGAGAAATCCAAGAGTGCAAGGCTTGATCCTTCATGTGACTTCATTTTGTTTCTGGCCATTACTATTTTTTCTTTTGGTGGAGCCAATTTGACTCCCAATGATGTACTCTTGTGGCTCCATATTTTATATTAGTCATTTATTCCTTCTACTAGTATTCTTGGGATTCTAAGCACATTAATTGACCCTCCTTTAGTAAAAAATAATATGTCATCACCTCTACTTTGTGCTCTAATTTAGCTAAATATTATAACTTGGTTTATTCTTCTGCAAATTGAATTAAACTAGATGCAATATGTTCTTTAAGAGATTGTGATTGTTATATTGATTAACATACTTAAGAATGATTAAAAAAAATAGTAATTATAAATTACTCAAAAATTTAAAATCTTGTAAATGTTTTTTTTATAGATATTTAGTATTGTCTTGATATTAAGAATAGACCATGTTGCTTCTTGATCATTAGTATCATCTTATAATATTATGATTGATGATAGTGATTGAAGCAAACCACCTTCAAAGCATAAAATCTTGTTGGTATATATTGCTAGAAGTACAAATTCTCTATTTTTTGGAACAAAAGAATATTATATAGGATTTTTACATTTAATCTAGCCATAGTTGTGTTTGGTTATAATTGGCAATAGAATGATTGTGTGACAAAGAAGAAGATTCAAGAAATGGTTTAAATAAAGCTCTGCAACAGTTTTGTACATTTAATAAGCTAATTAGTTCAAAACTTGTTTGATATTAGTTTAAAATTATAATTAAAGAAATGATGTCTTTTTATTTTTATATTTAATAATAATAATATAAAATTTTGAAAAATAAAACATATCAAACAACTAGTTAATATGAAAAAATATTACTATATTTTTTTATTTTTTTAATAATATACTGAAATACCATATTTCTATTGTAAAATCATTGACAACATAAATCTTCATGCCAATCTTCTTTCTTTCACACAAAACACACTACTTTTGTACTAATCACTTTTGATCCAATGAATCGTACCAATGGTTATCCTCGGCACCATATATTATAACCTTTATATTAAATCCAACTTCAACTATGATATATTTACCACATATATTGAAGGTGCAGAACATCCACCTACAAACATATAAATACGTAGCAACAATGCACATCAAATATCATTGTTTCCAGCATTGTTTATCATATTTTTGGGAAGTGCATAATCTGTCGAGTATGGAGAAATCCAAGGGTGTTGCGCCTTGTGTGCTATCCTGGTGAGAGCCATCGTAGCTGAATTGATAAAATGTTGCAGGTATGTGGAGTGCCAACATCTGTGACATAATCTGATTGCAGAGCTGGCTTGGTTCATGCAGAATCACCTGGGTCCTCCCTTTCCTCCCTGGAAGATCTTTCTGTTCTAGATGTAGCGTTTTCGAGTGGTTGCACAATCTAGATATAGCAGCAGTCTATCTAAATTTGATTTGTACACTCTTGCTTGGTGTGAACCTTCACGCTCAAGGCACTATACAAGATGGCATTCTGAATATCATTCGAAGTGTTTGAAATAGATGAGAAGACCATGTACTGTGTCGGATGTCGGTAAAGTGGAGGCATAATCCCCTCTCCAGATCCCTCATTGATTTGTATGCATCTGTGCTTGCGGGCTGTGAGAGTAGCAACAGCAGTGGCTACGCTGCAATAGCCGATGAGTTGGTATTGGTTCACTAGAAACTGTCAGTAAAGCAAATTGGTACTTGCGTATCTCAATGCAGATGAGAGTCGACTGCCGTTAAAAGTTCAATGGACAATTTGACCTCACATGAGTCAAAACTTAATGGTCGAACAATACCTTACATGTGTCAAAACTTCCACAATTGAATGAAGTTTGATCTTCCAAGTAATAAATGATATAGGACACGCTTATTGCTTTGCTCTAATATGTGAAACTCATTACAATTTAATTCCCATGACTCTGGGCAGATATTAAAATGTGTTTTGTAGTTTCACGGCAAAGCACACATTGAACATATAGGTACCTTCCAGTACAAAATACACAAATTTTCAAAACTATCCTCAACTAACTTGTCCAAACTTTAAAACTGGTTCATTTAAAATCTTCCTGCATCTATACTTACGCACATTCTCTGCATTATATTGACAATTAGAAAGGTGCGGAAAAAAGTAGAGTAAGTTCATTGACGAGTCCTTAAACATCAACATCCGCAAGTCTGCACTCTAACACGCTGCCCGTAAGATCTTCCTGCAAACCACAAGTACACCTTAGAACCAGACACTTATAAGCATTCAGGTATAACAAATTAAAGACCTTAAATCCCGGTTCCACTGAACTCAAAAGGATCTATAACTCGGAACATAAGGATGATGCAGGTAGAACAGCTTACAGGCGGTAATCATCTTCCAGATTTGGTTATCCTGTTTTTTCCATGCAAAGGTGATGACAGGTGAGCCTTCTTTCACTCCCCCCGATTTCTTATCCCCACGAAGAACATCCAAGTTCCGTGTGATCTGAGACGCTAGCCGAATGCAGCAGTAGCCTTGACCCATATCCTCGCTCATTGTCCACAACACGGTCTGGTCGAGAGCATTACTGTCGTAATCTGCCAACAAGCACTGCAATAACACAACACACCCAATGCAGGTTGGTGCACCTTAAACTGACAGTCGTAACAGAAATTTTAGGTTTTTTGAAGTTAGTCATAATAGCAGAGTAAAGGCGCTTTAAAGAAGGATTGCTCGGGGGTAAATTTGGTGCTTGCAAATGAAAAAACACCTGTGCAAGGTCCTCAGGTGCATGTCGTAAAGCTTGACCTGTAGCCTTGTTGATCAGAGAGAAGGCACTCGATCCAGTTTCGTCTTTGACTCTTGTGCTCATGGTCACATCCTTATACCACACCTGATATATATTTTATTTTTTCAAGATCAAGCAAATTTACAGTCAAGGTCACGCTAAGGCCGGAAGGCAGATGACACATTCAAATGACTATGATTATAAGTGCAGCAGTGGCACGATTAGCGGACAGTTAGAAGATAGAAAGAGAAAAGGGACACGAAAGGCTCATCATGTTTCAAATTTGCATCTAATTCCTCTACCTAGTCTCAAAAGAAAGGGGGCGTCTTCACAGAAACTTGAATCCCTCACCTGGAAATCATCGTTCGGACTGAATGGGACCATAACCGGGCCTTGGCCAGGAACAGCAGCGAGGTTGAAATTAGGATCCGCCTTACAATGGAGTCTTACAGGCAGACCAAGCACTGGCCTCCGACGAGAACCCTCATCCTCGGTCACTACGCTGTGATGACGTGGAGCGGGTACATAGGGCGAGTTGTGATATTCCGGGCCGACATAACGAGGACCTGTTTCAACATTCCGAGTTCAAATACCTGCTCGGTACCTGAAATCCTACAAACTCTAAACATATCGGAAAGGGAAACACAGTTTGAGTGTTCCTAATTGCAGAATTTCCATGTCTACAAGCTCGACTCATGAACCAACTAACCTGATGGAGGGTATCCTCCAGAATGGCGGTATCCCTGCTCTTCGTATGCACCGCGCCTCCCCTCCTGTCCATATGATCCTTCACCATAGCCATATGGAGCAGCATCTCCAGATACTGGCATGGGAGGAGGCCTGTGCTCGAGATTGCTGCCGTATCGAGGCTGCTCTTCATCCGAAAAATGGCGGTGATGGTGGTGGTGGTGATGGTGATGGCCTTCCTTCTCAGGATATGGATTGTAAGGCTCACCCTCACCGCGATTCATGATGGCGTAGTCTATTCCAATATTGGATCCCAAACAGGAGTTACCACTCTCGTATCTCTTCTGTTTGAATAATCTTTCCTGCATACACGACCATTTTAAAAGTTACTTGAAATACAAGCACAAATGTTCTAGCATTCAAGCACTGCTTTAGACCATCTTAATGATTTAAATTAGATCGAGGAGGATGTCAGAGCATTGACAGAGGCTTGGAAAATTGCAGCAGTCTGATAGAACATAACTGGGTATGACTAACAGAAGAGATGACTTAGAACACCTCTCGATCCTGTCTTAACTACACTTTCAATTCGACAGAGGCAATGATTTGACACAACTCCGGCACATTAGACATCGCGAGCCCCAACACGATCGACTACTGACCTGATCAAGGAACAGTCCAGAGAAAACGGCGAATATCCGCACCCAACGGACAGAACTCCAACTGACGTACAGCCACGTAACTATACAAAAGGGCCAATGCAAACCTCTACAAATCAGCACAAGGCCACCAAACAGTACCGACAACTTCTGAGAGTGTAAGGATGCAATCGGCGTCTGCTTACCTACGTCGGCGATCCGCCTAACCCCGCAAAAACCTCACGACCCCTACGACAGCAAGCCTCTCAAAACTCCAGATCGAGACACACAAGAGGAATGACACGAAACCTCTAAATCCTCCCGAGCTGGGTTCACGCGTGACTGCAGTGAACCAACACGTACAACATGTGGGGTACAGTCAGGCATTCAGGAGACCATGACTCGTCTCACATTGGACATCAGACTGTTCGTCCAAAGTAGGAGCAGCTCACAAGGGCGTCGCGACGTACCTACTGCGGCATTCGAGCGAGCGAGAGCTTCACACGGAGGATCGGCAGTGGCGTGCCGGTTTTGGCGATCCGAGGCGATTCGATTCTCCGGGTGGAGTGCGGTAGCGAAAACGAGGCAATCGTGGGAAGATGTAAAGCAAGATGCCGACGACCAATTCGATTCTACGGCCCCTTCGCTAGCGTGGGGTTGCAGTTGGATTGCGCCCCCTTCCGCTCCCGCTTCAATGCTCGTGCTTCCCTTTCCCGCTCGTGCTTCCCGTGGTCGACGGATTCCTCGGCTTTGGATGAAACCTACTCTCATCCCGACGTTCGACCATTCATCTCCTTCATTCGTCGTCCTTCAAATTTGTTCAATCATCCGTCCATGTGAGAGCCGCCCATCCATTATTGTGAAGAATCAAACCTAAATACACCTTAAAAAAAGAAAAATGATAAAGCAATATAATTTTTTACTAAATTGATTTACATATTTAAACCATCATTGTATTCTTCCAACCCCATCTCTGTTCTCAGCCATTCTCTTGTTCCTAACCACTACCTTGTTCCTAATGTTTCCAACTCCTTGCCCCCATCTTTAATAATTGTTGGAAACAAAGAATGGCTGAGAACATGGATAGGAGCTACAATGATGTAATGATGGTTAAGATAGATTGGGCTGCTTTAGTAAAACTTTGGATCACTTTACCATTCTCCGAAATAAAATGTCTTCTATTTATTTGTATAATGTTACATGTTCAAAGTAACCACACTTGACTACAACAATGTTATCCATTCAAAGAGCTACTACCTATTGCAAATGATACTCGCCAAAGTTCTCCGATGGCATGCCATCAAAGGAGTGGTAAGCAAGGAAATAAGACATCATTACGAAGTCATCAAAATTAACATGGGATGTAGTAAGGTATCACGGACATATACATTTACCTCAATAGTTACTTATATGATTAAGTAGAAGTAGGTAAATATAGATTAATTTCATGAAGTCTTCTAGTGCAACTTCTTAGAAGCTTTATAGATGCGGTTTTGATTTTAGATGTGTTTCTAGCTTAGAAACTTGGCCGAAAAGCTAATCATGTATTGGTAGCTTGTAGAACAAGTTAACTATGTGGTGCATACATAGATAACTTGTCTTGCAAGATAAGTCATGTGGCTAGCAAAGTCAACACATGTTGGAGGTCCTATAGGACATCGCCATGTAGTTCTTAGTTAGATAGTATATATGGAGGCAAGAGTGAAGCCTTCTTCACTGTTGTCAACGCCTTTCTAGTCTTAGTCTTGTTTCAAGACTTTCTAGTCTTCTTATTTTTGGCAATAGCCATTTTAGTTAATATTACATCATCTTTTGAATGACTTTCTAGTTCTCTTCAGTGATAGAAGAGTGTATTGAGGATTCTCTTTCTTCGAGATTCATGTCCTTGACAGTTTGACAAAAATGCTGACATATTATTTTTGTCTTGTTTTAGAAGTGAGTGAATTACTCCACTTCTATTGTTGTGTTTTGAATGTTGTGGACTATCCACTTTTAAAGAAAAAAACTTATTTTCTAATAATGATCTTTTTCTTAAAGAGAGTGGATTACCTCTCTTTGTGATATTTGTTTTTAGAGGTTGTGGATTACCCTCCTTTAATTTGACTTTTGAATTTGTTTGAGTTGTCTATATAAGAAAAGATTATGGATGCTACTTTCAATGGAAGTGAGAATAGATTTACAACTATGGCAGATCTTCATGAGCTTGTCAATACTCTAAGAGAGGAAATCTCACGTATTTTCAACGTGAATCATGGAAATACTATGCCTACGCCTATGGAAGAAGTTCAAAGTCTGCGACACGAAGTAGTCCAGTTGAAAGAAGCAAATAGATCAATGTCACAACCAAATCCAAGGAATTTTGCTTCTACAAGTATGACAGGGACAAGGATTAGTATGCTTGAGAAGTTTGATGGAACAAGATCAAAATTTTGAAGATTTTTGCAACAAGTCAAGCTGTATCTAAAGTTGCACCTTTTCCAATATCTTGATGGATTTACCCAAGTCAGATTCATAGACACACTACGATCAGGATGTGCTCTCTTTTGGTTTGTATTTTTAATAGAAAAAGATTCACAACTCTTTTGTGATTTGAATTCATTCCTAAAAGTGTTTATAGCTATATTTAAAGAAAGTGATCGAGAACGAGTATCAAAGACCAAGCTTTTATCCTTACAGTAAGGATCATGATCAATTACTATATATGTTGTTGAATTCCAAAACCTTGCTTGCGATGTGGATTGAAACGACAAAGCACGTATCAACCAATTTTGATATGGGTTGAAGGATAACGTCAAAGATTTGTTATTAACAATGCCAAAAGTAAAATCTTTGGAACAATTTATTACTCAAGCCATTGCACACAACAATTGTTTATTTGAAAGGCGTCAAGAATAAAGATTTGATTGAAAAGAAAAAAGTCAAGTAATGGTGGCAGCTCCCAAGTTTTCCAAAATGTATTTGTCAAAGTCGGAACTAATGCAAATTGATATGATACATTTTAAACCTCTCACAAAGTAGGAAAAGACTCAATGTTGCTAAGAAAGATTGTGTTTATATTATGGAGAAGGTAAACTCACTGCTCAACATTGCCCAAAGAAGCAACGCAATTACAAAATGATGAGCTCAATTACCAAAGAAGATAGTGTATCAGAAAATGAGTTTCTCCAGTTTCAATAGGAACCATGTAGTTAGAATCATGTGCAACACCTAGTAAAGGTCTTATCCTCTCCTCAAACTTCTCACCTTGTTTTATAATAGAAGTATATTTAGGACCTAATAATCACAAAGTCTTTACCTTCTTAGATTCAGGAGCCTCAGCATGTTTTATAAACGAAGATTTTATCAAAAATCAAAAAATACATTTAGGGAAGAAAGTTAAATCTATACATGTAGAAGTCATAGATGGTCGTTCGTTGTCTTCTGAAAATGTTATCCATAAAATTATTCCTTTAAATGTAGCAATTAAAGATCATAACAGCGTAGTAGTATTTAATATAATAAAATCTCAATCTAATCCGATTATTTTAGAATTATCATGGCTAGAAAAATATAACCCTCAAATAGATTGGATTTCTCATAACCTTAACTTTTCTGATAGTATAATCCAAGATTGCATTAGTAAAGTAGAAGTACGTAAGTCTAGAATATCCAAACCTTTACTAGCGAGTGCAAAAGCTTTCATACATGCTACAAAAGAAGGATCATCTTTTGCTATATATGGTACAATCATTTCTAATGGTAAAACAATGTTGAGTAGTATTCCTAACCAATATCAAGAATTCGAAGACGTTTTTTAAAAGAAGAATGCAGATATTCTTTTCAAGCATTGACCTTATGATTATTCAATTAATCTACAAGAAGGAGCTCAACTACTATTCGGATCAATCTATAGCTTATCATAGAATGAATTGGCTGCATTAAAGGAGTATATTGATGGGAATTTGGCAAAGAACTTCATATGCCATTCTAAATCTCTAGCCGGGGCTCCTATCTTATTTGTGAAGAAGAAAGACAAATCTCTGCAAATGTGTGTGGATTATCGAGGACTCAACAAGATTACCATCAAAAATAGATATCTTTTGTCTTTGATTTCAGGACTTCTTGACCAATTTAATCAAGCAAAGATTTATACCAAAATAGATCTACTAGGAGCATACAACTTGGTTCGTATCAAAGAAGGAGATGAATGAAAGATTGCTTTTCAAATTAGGTATGGACATTTTGAAAATAATGTCATGCCTTTTAGATTCACAAATGCACCGTTTACTTTTCAATACCTTATGAATGATATTTTTTGTAAGTTTTTAAATGATTTTGTTGTTTGCTATTTAGACGACATTCTAATCTACTTTAAGAACACAAAAGAACGTGAGCTTTATATTTGACGCAGGTTACAAAAACTTAGAAATGTAAAATTATATACCAAGTTGAAAAAGTGTGTATTCTATACTACTCAAGTTGACTTTTTAGAACACATCATTTCCAACAAAGGCCTTGTGATGGATCTAAAGAAGGTTCAAACTATCATAGATTGGAAGATTCCAAGAAGAGTATGAGATATGCGATGCTTTTTGGGCTTTGCTAATTACTATCAAATCTTCATCAAGAATTTTTCTCAAGTTGTAGCTCTACTTATATGTTTGACTTGTAAAGACAAATTTGAGTGGATTAAAGAAGCAGAAGCATCATTTTATGCTGTAAAGAAGGAGTTTATTTTTGCACCAATCTAATATTACATTGAGTTTTCCAAGTCATTTTTTATGGAAACATATGCGTCAGATTTTGCTATATGTGCTATGTTGTCACAAATGGGAACAAATGACAAATTCCACTTAATAGCTTTCTATTTGAGGAAATTTTTTCAGCAATCGAGATTAATTATGAGATCCATGATAAAGAGTTCTTTGCAATTGTAGATTCATTTCAAAAATTGTATCATTATTTAAAAAGCACTTCAAGTCTAGTTACTATGTATATAAAACATAAGAACCTCGAGTACTTCATATCAACATGTATCTTGAATCGTCGTCAAATCCATTGGATCATGTCTTTATCTAGATTCAATTTCAAGATCACTTATTGATCCAAAAAATAACAAGGTCTATCAAACACTCTTTCTAGATGTTCTTATCTTGTACCAAAAGAAGAAGATGCATCTTTTCATCAACAAAGATCAATTTTCTTGAAGCCCGAGCATTTTTCAACTTTGAGCTATAAAATCAACATTGACTATTGATTCAATATTTGTCAAGTAAATTCAATCAAGCATGTTTTTTGATCCTCTTGTTTAGGATATCAAGGATACTTCCTCTAAGTCCCATAATACATCCAAGTTTTAATTCAAGAATAATCTATTATATTTTGAAGGACGCCTATATGTTTCATAAGATAAAGCTCAATTACACGTTCTTTAAGCTCGTCATCGCTTTTCAGCAGTATGACAATTTGGATACAATAAAACTTTGGAACTAATATCTATGGATTTTTGGTGGCCACAAATGTGGAAGGCAGTCCAAGATTTTATACAATCTTGTGATATTTGCTCAAGATCAAAAACTCCTCGTTGTCAATCTTACAGACTTTTTTAGCCGTTACCCATTCTAGAACAACCATGGTCTTTTGTTTCTATGGATTTCATCACGGATCTTCCAATCTCAAGTTCTTATGACTCTACATTCATGATAGTAGATCGTTTTACCAAGATGGCACATTTTGTACTATATATAAAATCTATTACAGGTGAAGAAACAATTAAGCTTTTCATTAATAATATCTATTGCTATCATAGATTATCAAAGGATATTATATCAGATAGGAAGACTCAATTTGTATCAAGATTTTGAAGAACCATATTCAAAATTCTAAAGGTGGATATAAAACTTTCTTTAGCTTTTCATCCTCAAACTGATGGACAAACGGAACGGATAAATCAAGTTCTAAAGCAATATTTGAGATGTACCATTAACTATCATTAAGATGATTGGACAACTCTTTTACCATTAGCAGAGTTTGCATATAATAATTTGGTACATTCTTCTACTCAATAAATATCTTTCTTTGCCAATTATGGTTATCATCCATGTCTTGATACTTTTGACTTCTCAAAAGTTGATAATCCTGCAACAGAAGATTTAGCAAATCGCTTGTTAGAGTTACGTACAACAATGAAGATACAATTAAAGAAAGCTTAAGAATGACAAAAGACCAACACAAATGCCTATTGCAAGGAGCAACCACAATATAATATGGGCAACAAGATATGATTACTTTATTATAATATCAAGACTACTCATCCTTTTGATAAATTAGATTATTATAGCCTAGGATCTTTTTTTATTTGTGAACAAATCAATCTTATTGCCTATCGATTACATCTACCGGAGTTTGTAAAGATCCACCTTATATTTCATGTGTCTCTTCTAGAGCTGTATAAGACAGTGAATATCTTAGGAAGAAGACAAATGCCACCTTCTCCTATAGAAGTGGATAATAATCAAGAATTTGAGGTGGAAGAAGTCTTAGACTCAAGGTGGCACCGAAATAGGTTGGAATATCTTGTTCATTGGTGCAGATATGATATTAGTCAACACACATGGGAGCCATCAAAGAATCTTGCAAATGCGGCAAAGAAAGTTGAAGTCTTTCATCAATGATATCCATCAAAATTAAGATGAATAATAAAAAATCTTTGCTACAAAAGAAATAAGATCAAAAGAAGATAACATTCTACTTTCTATCTTTCTTTGTAGCTTGTGTATTTGTGATGCTAAGGAGATAGAAAACCAACAACTAGCAGATTCAATTCAAGGGCTTTCATTTGTGGACTTACCAGACAAGACATTGCAATTGTCACAACCTTTAAGATGATGGAATCGAAATGAAGATCCTTAAGAATGACATGTCCTTTCTTGAATAGATGGTGAAATACAACGTGTTTGGTATCATGACCTTGGAAGAGACTCCTGATGTTTAGTAATTTTATTAGAGGTAAAAACAACTCCTAATGGTGTTTCAAATATTTTATTTGAAGGAAGTTATGAAGGCCTCAACAATTATCAAATAACATGGTAGTCTTCTCACTCTAGTATGGGACACTATAGATAGTTGAGAGGGCCTATCAACCATCTTTAAAGAAAGTAAAGAATCGGAGTATGTAGCAAATACAATTTGCCACATCTTGAACTTCCTCAACATATGAAGACCACTCCTTATCGAATTCGTCCCTAGAAGGAGGGATAATATCACAGACATATACATTTATCTCAATAGTTACTTATATAATTAAGTAGAAGTAAATAAATATAGATTAATTTCATGAAATCTTCTAGAGAAGCTTTTTAGAAGCTTTATAGACACGGTTTTGATTTTAGATGTGTTTCTAGCTTAAAAACTTGGCCAAAAAGCTAACCATGTATTGATAGCTTGTGGAACAAGTTATCTCCATGTAGTAGCTTGAGGAACAAGCTAATTATGTGACACATACATAGATAACTTGTCTTGCAAGATAAGTCATGTGGCTAGCAAAGTCAACACATGTTGGAGGTCCTATAGGACATTGCCACGTGGCTCTTAGTTAGATAGTATATATGGAGGCAAGAGTGAAGCCTTCTTCACTCTTGTCAATGCCTTTCTAATCTCAGTCTTGTTTCAAGACTTTTTAGTCTTCTTATTTTTGGCAATAGCCATTCTAGTTAATATTACATCACTTTTTGAGTGAATTTTTAGTTCTCTTCAGTGATAGAAGAGTGTATTGAGGATTCTCTTTCTTTGAGATTCATGTCCTTGACACAAGGCAGAGAGGTACTTAAGCATTGAGGAAAGTTCTTAGCAATCAATCAAGAAGTAGCATAGTATGTAGCAGGTCCCACACAATAGTACCATGAGTTGAGTTAGTGCTAGATTGGAAGCCATGTAATTTTGATTAAGCAATAAACTAGTCTTTGTCTTTTTTCAATCATCATGTATTTCAAGTCCAATCTCGTAAGGTTGTGTCTTGTGCTTGCCAATAACCTTGAAAGCTTGAGTTACATATATGTATTCTTTATAGATTGTAAGAACTAGTTGATATAAGTGGTAATGGTGGTTTTTGATTGATTGATTTTATTCTTGTTGTTACTAATATATATTGTAGTTGTTTTGCCATTGTTTTCTATGGTTATAGTTAGTTTTGGTGATTAAAAGTTTTCAAAAAAAATTAAATAATTAAATTATGCAAAAAATGATAGATTATTTTACTTAAATTCAAATCATATATGATAGTTTTGATAAAAATATATATATCTTGTCTAAAACTTTTGTGTCTTTGAAAATTAATTCAAGTCCTTTTCTTAAACCAACTATTAAACACCTTCAGATTAACATCAATTTAGATGATGTTTAATTTTTTAAAATTTCTATTTTCAGCACATATTTATAGTCTTTTATAAATTTTATTTGGATTAAATTTAAGCCAATAAATATATGAATAGTTTTATATGTTTGTTTATATTTTAATTCGAAACTAGTAATATCCAACTCTACAAAATCCAATGGAAGTGAGCATCCACTACAATAAAAAATTATATGTCTTGGAAGGATCTTATACTGCAATAAATGTAATTACATTCTATACGAATTATTTTTATATATGATGCATTGGCAAGTTAATACTACTTTTCTTCTTCTTCTTCTTCTTTTTTTTTTTTTTTTTTTTTTTTTTTTTTTACATTTGGTACATTTGGTGCACATTTATAATAGGAAAAAAAAAAGAAAAAAAAAGAAGGCAAAGATGGAAATTTAGGTTGAGTTCCTTTGCCAACAATATTTTTTCAGTAATAAAATTGGATTATTTTAGAGATCAGAGATGCAACCAATAAAAAAGGCTATAATTTTATTTTATTTTTTGTATGTCACTGTGGTCTTAACAATATTACCAGTTACTAAGAGTCTCTTGCAAGATTTTATTCATGTATACAAGTTGTATGTGCACTTAAAAATGAGATGTTATGCATAATACATATATGTTTATCCTAGCTGTAGATCAGCAGTGTTGTACCATGTGGCTCAATTGCATTGCTCTCAAACTTATCCTTGGCCTTGGGTTTCTTCTTAAATATCTTGTTGACATCAAACCAAATTTTATTCCTACACAAACAATGTTGAAATATCTCGAAGCTATGAATCACATTGAAAAAATTTCAATTTAAAAATCTTAATATTTTTAACAGTCGTCAACACATGAAAAGCATTGATTGTAGGAGGAACGAACGAAAACAACGACCTATTGGACGACGACGAAGCGTTGAACGAAAATGTGCCTGAAACGGGTGAGAAAATGCCGACCCGTGGTGGGAAGCAGGGACCCGTCCTAGGCGGCGGAGCACAAACCCTACGCTGGGTTTCGGAAGGACTCCTTTTCACCTCTTGTCAGGAGCGTTGGTTTGGCGAGGCAGCAGGAGCGCGTTGGTCACGGCAACCATGGTGAGTAGCTCATGTCGATATCCTTGTGGCGACTCGCAGCGTCGATTGAGCTTAAGAGCCCTTCTTCGATTTTTTACTGACCAAGTCTTGTTTTGGAGGAGAAGTGAAGCACTCAGAGTTAGGGCTTTTTTGTATTTTTTGTATTTTTTGTATTTTTTTTTTTTGAATGACTGAAATTGATGTGAAGATGTGCGGGCCAGGGTCATGATGTCAATTTTCTCCGCGATTTCTAATCCATCGCGGTTTACAGGTGAACGTACCGAAGACCAAGAAGTCCTTCTGCCCGGGGAAGGCATGTAAGAAGCATACCCTTCACAAGGTGACGCAGTACAAGAAGGGAAAGGACAGCTTGTACGCCCAAGGTATTTTGGCAGTGACGATTTTTTTGTCTACGTGACCTAATCACTGGGCTACACGCATGAGACTGGCGAAGTCTCATGCAGGGCGTTTGGGGTTTGGTGGTCTGCGACCAACCTCTGAACCGATAAGTGTTGATTTGATGAGAACAGTATTTTTTGAACTGCCTGAGTGATGTTACATCGATTGAGTCTTAGTCTATTGTGAACTTGAGGTGGGAGCCGCTGCACTTTGTTCTAGATTAGGGTTTCTGCGTGGAGTTGGTCATTTTAGGCTTTAGTGTTTGTTCGGGTCGATATCGAAGTGGGACTGTCATTATACGTAACTCCGTCTTCTCTATTCGTGACAGGGAAGAGGCGTTATGACAGGAAGCAATCCGGTTACGGAGGTCAGACCAAGCCTGTCTTTCACAAGAAGGTTAGCTGAACCCTCTTACTCGTCATGAGAATTTCTAATACTAGTTTTCTTTATCGCTTACAGCGTACTTGCTTTATTTCGGTTAAATTTTATTGCTGAAGTTTAGAATTTGGATGTGATTTCATAACAAATTTGAGAACCCCCTCTTCGCTTTGTCTCGCTGGTATCGATGGCACGTGGCACTGAGAAAGTCCTGTTTGATATTTTGTTCTCAGGCCAAGACCACAAAGAAGATTGTGCTTAGGTTGCAATGTCAGGCTTGCAAGCATGTGACTCAACATCCCATCAAGGTAACCTGCACTACCGGCAGACTTATTTTCTGTTAGAGCAGACGTACTGAATCGCTCGGGATGTTGTTCAGTTTCTGTGCAACTTCGGTTTGCGGTCCTATGTAGTTTCGACATGCTTTCGATCAATTGCTAGTCTTCTTTTGTTGGTTTCGCGTGCGGAAGCCCTCATAGTGTTTTAGTCTCTTTGCTTACTTGAACAATCCTCAGGCTTCAGGTGACTAACACTCAAAGTGATATTTTGCAGCGCTGCAAGCACTTCGAGATTGGAGGAGACAAGAAGGGCAAGGGTACCCAACTTTTTTAAACTACATGTCTTAATTGAAATGTTAAAATTGTGGACTGGTTTTCACCGTGTACCACTCATTTTGTAAGAAGCTCTTGGAGCCTTGGTTTCATACTTGGTGTTCTTGGCGAATGTCTTTCACCTAACCCTTAATTTGCACAAGTTGATTGTGGGCTACTATCTAGTGTTCAAGCATGGTCTGGTGCGTTTTCATCGGGAGTTTCTAAGTCACGGATGTTTTCCCTTAGTTTATTTTGTGCATGCCCCAAGTAATTGAAGTAGGGGCTCTTTTCTTTTCGTTTTATTAACCGTTGTTTAAGGCTGATCGGGATTTTATCCCGACATGTGGACTACTCCAAGCTAGCATTTAGAGAACTGTTAAATGTTATCCTGACGTCGCATTGAACTGAACTGGAGTCCAGCTAGTACCAAACGCACTGGCCAATTTGGTCATGAGAAAGTTGTTGACGCACAATTCTCCGGCTCTTATCAATGGGAATGAGGTGAATCCCACTGAAGCCCCCGTCCAAGGTCCTTCGGTTACACTTGTCACACACTATGAGAATCTTGCATTGGTTCAAGTAATCTGAAATAATATGAAGTGGAAGACGTAGCACGCACATACCGATATATAGTTAAAGTAAAACGAAGCAGGTGGCTTTTCTGCCGCTCTATGTTCAAGTGCGATTGTGGCATGCACCGCGTCCTTGACGACCTCCTAAAAGTATTCCTCTACTTCGCCTGCCCGTGATGTTAAGCTATGTAGGGCGCCCCGTTGTCGCCGATCGATTCGTCAGCCCAATGACCCAGGTGTGGTCACAATTCGTAAATACCCCAATATTTGGTGAAATTACTGTACCTAAGTTAAATTCGTCGCATGAAAATCATTGTAAAAATACTTTCAGAACGTTTACCAAGGCATGCTATGCACCTTGTTTTAGTCTCGAAAGCCTGTCAGAACAGTACTGTCGTCTGTATTTATTGAGAATTGAGAATTGGAAGTTAGAACTTGTCAACTGTTTAGATGCACACCGAGGTAGCACTAGCACGTGCTGACTTGGTTCACAAATACTTCAATACAAACGTACATTCACGCATCTGTAATGCAGTTTGTTCCATCACATTTGTCACGGAAGGCTACTGAAAGTTATTAATGTAATTCAAAACCATCCAGCAAGATTTAATAACCCATCGATGTGCTCGTGAGTTCAGTTAATATCAAAACGAACCACACGAATATGTTATATATTGTGTTTTAATTGCTTAGAAATGATTACTTGGGTTATGGATGTTCAATATCATGTTCAAATAAAAACAGCTGTTACTTCAATGATTACTTCAATGTTACTTTAACACAACTCGAAGATTTTATTAAAGCAGGATATGAAAACATCATTTTGCCTAATCTAATTAAATTTGGTGTAAATATCATGTATTTTGCAAAGTATGTTTTTCTAAAACCCTTTGATTCATGTTGGGTTGATAAAAGAGTGTTTTCTAGATTGTGTGTACATTAGTGGTGATTTCATTCCTGAAAATGTCTATGATGCAAGACAGGCCTTTTCTTTGCATCCAGACAGCGCCATTTTCTTGAGAGCACTGACCACGCGCAAACGCCTCTTTTGCAAAGCACACAAACTGAAATTCTGAAAATGTAAGCATTGTATTTATTTGGCATCGATTTGGGTGATCGAATAGCGAAAGTGCCAGGTTTTCTACTTCGAACACACTGTTCACATACAGACACCTTTCTGACAATGACAATAATTGTACCCACCTTTAAATTTGGCTGGGTCGAGCCTGGAATTCAAGTCAACTTGTTCACAGCAAGTAAATAATGTTTCCTCACGCACCACGAGCCATCTACAGGGATGAGAAAATGGCCATTGGCTTGTGGTGCGTGAGGAAATGGGAAAATTCTTTCGTACAATCGCAGTTATAAGCTCATAACTTTTCAAATCGTATGAAGAAAATTGTGGTAAAATGAATGTACAGGGAAGAGAACAGAAATTGGCATAGTTCTCGGCCACCACCATTATGGCTAGGTCAGTTATATGCAATGGCTAGTGGCACGTCGATGTGTTGTTCGCAGTCGCGAACAGGTGGGTGCACAGCTTCGGAGATGTGAAACTCTTGCAGTTGTAGCTTTCCTTATGGAGCAGCTCCGGTTGATTGGATTACCTTGGATAATAACAAAATTGCGTAGCCATGGTGCTCGTTTCACCCCACCTGCTGATGTGGAGGCTTCGTTTGGAATGATACGGACCCTGGCTCTCTTAGTATATTCTCAGGTTAGACCATCCTCCGACAGTTTCATGATGTTGGATTCAGCGCCACATTCTTGATTAATCGTTATTGAATGGCAACGGAACAGTTTTCACTGCTCTGTACTTGCCAACGTTGTTCAGATGCTCATTCTCAATGCTGCACACGTTGACAAGGTCACCCTCTCCAGTCAGCAAGCTGGCCCTAAATTCTCCAGATTTGTTTTACCACTTGACTCCGAAGCAAAAGACTTTGGAAACAACAGAGGGCATTGCTAACATACAAACAAGCAAAAGAGTTTACAACCTAATGGTTAGAGTTTAGGAATTTCAGCCGTGCAGAACTCAAGCAGACAAACTCTCAAGGAAATTTGCTGATTCTAATTTTGACTCGTAATGTGGATCAACATCAAACACAAGACACGCGCACGCTGCGTACAGCAGTGCGTTGATAGGGAGTAGAAGCTTGATCGTTACCGGAAGAAATTCCAAATTCCTCTGCGGATGATCTCCAATGCAGCAAGACCCGCATTGAAAGCGTTCTTGTATTGCACAAAGCCAAGCATTCTGTCGAGTCGCATGATTGACAACATCCATGCTAACCTGAGCACAATATTTGCACCCTGGAAGATACACAAATCGAAACCACCAGAATCAGGAACTGCAGATGACATAATAAAACTCCAATGTTTTTAATGAGCATGTTATGTTACATCATAAAGGCTTCTTTGACACTTCATAAACACAAGGGAAAGGAATTAAAGATCTCCACAAAGATTTCTGCAATTTGGTAACTTACGATGCACACGAAGTAGACGGATTTCCTCTGTAAGATGATCTTGTCTCGTAGCCACTTGTTCTTTGATTTGCGGTTGAGCAGACCCCAATCGACACACAAATCCCAGTAGCTCGCATAGATGGTGGCAATGATGGATGTTATCACAGAAAACGCCCCCAATACCTTCAAATTTTCGTGGTTCGAATACGCTTGTCTCAGTTCCAATGCTACAATCGCTGACATGTACTTTCCAGCATTCTCTAGCTGGTGTGTATCCTTCTCATCATAATATCTCCTAAGACACTGTTTAAGACAACGTAACCACGTCAGGCAATCAAGTTCAGTGGCTAAGTGGCACACGTGTCTTTTGAACAGCCACATTTTCAACCAAAATACGACAGAGAAAGGCTATACTAAAGGTTAAGGAACACCACTGTGATAAAAGGTTCCCATGTTATTCGCGATCATACCTGCAAAAAACGCCACCAAAATGGGAGTAGCGCCACCACATATCCAAACCCTCTGTAGACATCATCCAGGTCACATTTGCCGATTTCTCCTTTCAGAAAGTATCCAGTGGGGTAGTAGCAAGTCATGAACTGAAGATTTCTGAACAGCAACACCTGGCTTGTCAACTGATCACCGAGGAAGAAATCTGGTAGTGTGACCTACACCATTCAACCACAGAAAATTTCAGGGACTATACTTGGCGAAGGGCACACACACTTATAGTTGTTTCCTATGCTAATTAAGTTCTGGGCTAAATAGGGTCATCAAATTTGATGGAGAAATGGTGGAAATCACGCTAACCTTGACAAATGGAGCGGAAGCCAGACGTCGAAAGCAGCCCAGAAAAAACGCCCGCGAGGATCTATACAAAATATTGAATGGAAGGAATAAAGCCACCAAACATACCTGTACAGCACAAATGCCAAATGAGTATTGGATCGAGATTAGTAATCTGGCAACTGGGGGCATGTGAGTCGATACAGAATTCAATCGATGGTTCCCTTTCACTTAAACCGCTAAGACTAAAATGGAAGCGGGCAGAGATGATGATACCTTCATTCACCACAGTTGGTTAATTCTAGAGTAAGTGAGTTGGGAGAACTCTTACCAAGACTAGGAGCAAGGGTATCACATCAGCCACCATGCGATGATTTATCACGATACTTTCTTCGTTCACTGTCTCCTCAGGCGCTATTAACAAGGTCACTCCAATATGAAGGTTCATGCCTGCCAGTAAAAAAGTCGACAATCCAGTGGCTAGAAGCAAAACTTCGCGGTATCGGAGCTCTGTGCCTGAAGAAAACCCGAAGATGAATGGGTAATTTATACGAGTCTTTGCCCACATATACACGTTGCCGGCGTAGCAGAGTATATGAAGCCAAAGCAACATCAGCGTGCTGCACACACAACACATGTTCGGTATCAGCAGAAATTCGAGACCACTATTTGAATTCCTAGACTCATGTTGCAAAACGCTTGAATCGATCAAACTTGAACTTTCACATTGGTATTGAAAGTGTTAAGAAAGCTGACCTAAATATGGGGAAGACGTTTTTCACGTAATTGTGCGCAGTGTCTGTATGACCACGACCCAGAGCATTTTTGTTGTCCACCAAGAAGAAGAACGAAATGATCAATGCTACGGAAGTGCCCGAAAATAGACCTGATTTCAGCCATTTGAAACAGAACGTTAGTAGAGTGCAACCCCTCAAAGTACTTGTGATTCAAACGAGTCTCTTCAAGGAAGCTTTGAGTAGGGAAATATCTGAAATCAAAGCTCATCCTATGCCAAACCTGGCCACCTGAAACGACTCGATGTTCATACCTATAAAGAATGTCGTCCTGTGAGACCCTATTTTTCGCTCTGGCCGCAAATGAGAAATAGCTTTCTTTCGCTCACCATCGGTAAAATGCTTTGCGTATAACTCTTCCACCTTGTTCATCAACTTGTGTACCTGCGCAATCATTAAGAAGACAATATAATCATGAGAATTTCTATGAACGCTACACAAAGCTGCACGGGGCAAACTGGCCAAGTCAGAGAGTCTGGATACGAGAGGTTCTGTCAAAGAGATAATCAATGACATCAAGGGAGGAGTGGGGCTGCGCAGCATCAGTGCAAGTAATTAGGACTCCCCTCAATTTCCTTACCTTTGATGAAGTGACGAAGTAAGAGCTTTCGACTTCCTTCATGTAGATTGGCGACATGTTCCATCCTGTGGTCTTATCATACTTCTTCAAAATTTTAGCGAAAGCTGTCATGTTTAAAGACCTGAAACTAGATAGTAAGCCGAGCCCTCTGTAAAACTCTACAAAAGCAAGACGCAAAAGCCTCTTTGCATGATTGAGCTCTTTCTCGGATTTATAGATTTGATTCTTCTGGTTTTCGATGTCATCTTCTGGAATGTCGCCAGCCTCGTCAGGCACTTCACCTTCTTCGACTTCAGCGCTAGTATTGTCAGGCCCTGGGTGGGCACGCTCCGAGTCATCAGAAAACTGGGAAACTTTCTTCAGCACCGACCTTGGGGAGGGTAGCACGGAAGAGCCATCCGAAGAGACCGGGGAAAATCGCACCGATCGAGGAGACTGGGTTCCTGGTGCTATCAACGAAATTGAACCTTGTGACCCATTAGGTACGTCTATCTCAAGTTCAGCGTCTCTACAACTGCCTCTTCTCTGCTTCAAATTTGACATTTGAAAAATGTAATCTTGAATGACGGTGTCCTGTTCACCCTCTTCTGAATCATCGCTGTGCTCACGATCCCCGTTGGACGCTTGCATTGGAAATGTCTGCACCTGGAACCCACCGGACTTGTCCGTTCCATCCGGTAAGAGAGGCAGCTCATCAGCGCCTTCCTTCATAGCTGCAAGAGTTAGGGAAGTGGAAAACCATGATGTTGTTATTACCAACTCTTCAAAATGATGTAGTAATCTGATTTTCAGTCATAAACACCATTAATGTTACTACGGTCTTGCGCATACCTGGAAGGTGGTCATCTCTGGTCGCCAAGCAATCCGATGTTGTAAGACCCCGCCGAGCCATTTCCTCTTCCAAGTTTATCAAAGCCAGCATCTGCTTCTCCAGGACCCGTGCTCGGTCGATGTACTCTGCCTCCTTACTCCTGAAGAATTTGTTCACTTCAGTCAGCTGCGCATCGAGCCGGACAAAGAAGGTCTTGTCTTGCGGTGAGAGCGCAAGCGGTTCTCGCAGCTCAGTGATGTACACTTCTTTTTGCGCCGTCCATTTCTTGTTTACCTGTGCACTTGCCAGTGTGAGCTTACGATTCTGATTTATGTCCCTTCCGGTATCCATATCATCGCCAAGACAAGACTAGCTTAGCCACTTGAACGAACTAAAGTTAACCAAGTAAGGTCCAGCTTTGAAGTTCTCTGCGCTGGAAGATGCTGTACACCGGCCCTTTCGAACGCACTAGCAACTACAGTTCAACAATTGCATAAGTTAGCAGAAACGTACCGAGATAATATCCTTAGATTGATATCCCCGTGGTGAGAACGAGATCATGTGATCTGGTCTCCAAGCACGGCTTCCTGAGCGGCTTAGAGGGCCGCTAAAGTTGGACGGCTTGAAGGAGGCCAGAGACTTCAAGAGCCCCAACGACCCTGTGCGAGTGTAGGTCGGCCCCATGATTCGGTGCTGCTTGATGCGTGTTAGGTCAGCCTTGAGGTCGGCGTAACTGCAGTAGGCCTCCTGCCATTCTGGCACCAGCTCCCTCTGGAGCTGCTGCTCAAACTTCACCATGGCAGTTTTCTGCTAGAGTGAAGCCAGCAGGAAGTCGTGGTCCTTCAAAGAGCCCCTATTATTATCAACAGTCCTCCACTAGAGACTACTGATCGATTGATAAGAACTCCTGCAGAGATGAACTTGATAAAAACTTGATGCCGCTATTCTACTACTCCTCACCGTCACCTTATTGAAGTGATGTCCGGCAAACGGTCCTCACTGTCGGAACCCAAACTTCATGCAAAGAGCCTTAAGGTACAGAACTAGATCAGAGTCACGGATCCAGAGAAGTGCAAATTGAGCTCCACGAGCACTCACCAGACCTTAACCAGTCCCTCTGACAGACGGGTGTTGCAATGCACGAGTCTGAAGTGGGCATTATCATTGTACTCACGCAGTGTGCGAGGACTGTCCGCACGTTAGCTGCAATGCAGCAAAATCTCGCTAACTATCTCTCTCACTCACTCACTCACTCACTCAAACATCTCTTCAACTCCACCTTAGCTCACATTAAAAAGAACTGGTGACTATGAGAGCTCACAGTCCGTACTAGTGTTCAATGACAGAATGGCTTGTGGGGAGTGGGTTTCAGTGCAGGGAAAGTCGAGGGAGTGGGTGGCAATATAAAGACACCATGAGTGAAGCTTCCACTCGCTGGACGGACAACCCCGCCAGACGAGTGAACCACAATCAGTGACGACCACGCAGGCAGCAGCAGTACCAGGCGGCAATTACCACGAGAAACCGGGGGGGATTCAGATTCATCAGTCAAAGGCAAAAGATTCAGTACCCCTCGATCGGGACACAGCTAGAGTGCTTCGGCAGAGCGAAATCCCCTTGCAAGAGCACAGAACAAGACTCTGGCGACCGTGACGCGGAGCGAGTGGTGATGGAAGACTCGGACGACGACGAGGAGGAGCTTCTCTCCTATTCCCGCTTACAAGCAAAGTCGTCCTTTGCTTCGAGGACTCGCAGCGTCGACACGCTTGACGGCTCGACATTCGTCCCCCTATCGTCGACGACGTCGTTGTCTCCGTCGTCGTCGTCACTCTCGTTGTCGTGGTCCTACCCCTCGTCGTTATTGTTGCTTGCTGACGCGAAAAAGGCCTTTTTGCCTTTTTGGGGGACTCCAAAAGGAGAGCCGTGTGGAGTCGGATGCAACAAGTTTCAATGTTTGTTCATTCTAATGAATGCCTTTTATTACAAGGCGATTTTGCTGTCACCTTACGACCAATCACCTAACTGAAGTGCAGTCATCAAGCCCAAAAAATCAACTACAAACCTTGTGGCAAGATTTTGCTTTGTGTTGATAATTAGCTTTTAAGGGTTATTAACAAAGATCGAACTTTTATCTTTCTAACATTTTTTCCCATTGCATCTTATTTTTATTAATGAGCAACATTGAGAGTGAATCTAGTGGAGGATGGGTATGTAGAGAATCGAGGTGGAGTGATGGTTAAGTGTTGAATGTGGCACTTGATGCTGCACTTGATGACTTGAGGTTTTACTGTAGGGGTTGAGCAAGCACGCATACCCCCAAGAGGTCAAGGGCTTGGTTTTTATTGGGTTTTGGGTACAGTATTTTGCTCTTGGAAGCAATGTTCATGATTTGGTGAAAATATATATATATATATATATATATATTTATGTGTGTGTGTGTGTGTAGAAATCTAATATAATAATGCAAGTCCAGCCATGTAAAGCCTCTCAAAGTAGGCTAGACTTCCCACAATCTTGTGAAAAAGGAGAATGAGACAAAACAAACCTCCTCTTGCCTCCCATGCAACTTGTATTTCGAATAAATTTACACATGAAGGCTTTACTTATATTTATGTAATTTTTAAAAATTGATTCCCAAACATATTCCTACACTTTGATACATCATTCTTTGATACTTTGATGCACTTCTCTCATTTTTCTACAATTAAGTTTATAAGATTGCTTGATAAACTTGACATGGCACGGCTTATTTTCTACATTTTTCTATATAAGTAAGGATAAATAATTTATGAAATAAGCAACCCATATCGAAATAAACAAAGAAGTCACACAGACCTTCTCATTTACCGAACTTTTACTCGTGTATTATTTTTATAGAACAGGAACTTCTGTTTAAAAGAAATGTTTTCAAGGCAAGAAAATATACTGTAAGGTTTATGCAGATCTCAAAAGACATGTATTCTAGGTGAAGGAACGTTGGTAGGATTTTACAGGTGAAAGGATGTTAGTCAAATGTCTTTGAGGTAGAAGACTGCATAAGATATCTACGAATTAGTACGTATCTTAAAAGTAAGGAATGCAGTGAAATCATTTTTTAAATAAAAATAAAAATTAAACTTAATTGCACATATTTGTAATAATTCGAGGATGCAGATAAGTATATATGCCTGTATATAAAACTCGAAGACCATAAGCATTGTAATAAACCATGAATTAATATGTATAAGAAAGTGACCATGCATTCAAATCACAAAATACAATACAAGTTTATGATAACCTAATTATTCTATTAATATCATAAAAATCATTTTCTTTTGCTTTGATTGCAACCATTTCCATTGTCCTTTTTGGAGGAAGCAAAATGAACTTCCATCTTTTGTATAAATCCAACCACAAGTCATTATAAAAACTTGCAATATGAACTCAATTTGCAATCGCATATTTGTGTTTTATAAAAAGTCAATTTACAGATATATAACATCAACCCATATTTTAAACATAATAATAATGATAAAATGAAGCATATTCACATTAAAATTATTTTGTAGCATAGAACTTAACATTTTCCAAATACTATAGATACTCTGATGGAGTTTAAAAAATAAGTAAATAAACAAATATAAATTTTAAACACAACTTATGAAATTTTATTTATGGTATATTTTTGTTATTTTTTCTATCTGTTTAAATTATTTTTACAAAAAAATAACTCATTCCATAGAATCATTTTATAAAATTGATTAAATAATTTTAAATCCTGTTGTGCCTTGAATTTTTAGATATAATTATATCAATACAGATACAACCACCAACCCACAACCAACTCTCTGAGTACCATATTAGCTAAGGGGGCACAAAAATATTTGTGATCTAATTTAACTATTACTAATTTAATCTAACAACTTTATTGAAAAAGAGATGCTCCAATGTAAATGTATACAGTACATCTAATTCAAATAATGTGTCTACACATGCATACATTTCACATTCTGCTTTCATGATACGATATATAAAATCAAAATTAATAAAGAAGAAAATATCTACATATATATAATTAGCAATGCATTCAAAGATTAAGATATAATGTGGATGTTTTATACAAAATTAAATCCAAACTATTGATATTCAAGGCTCAAGTATGTTGCAATATATACATATATATATAGATATGTGTGTGTGTGTGTGTGTGTGTGTAATTTCAACAATTATATATATATTTTTTTTAACAAAAAAATTGATTTTACCTTTGCAATAGAAAATTTATAAACATCACCTCAAAAGTACAAAATGAATAAAGTTATTATTTCACTTTTATGTTTTATATTTAGCATCATGAGTGTTATCATGCATACTTGTCATTTGAAGATTGGTTGTGAGATTTTCTTGTATGCCACGACAGTCCCCTAAGATATCTTGTTCTATTTCAACTTCTGGTTCTATGTTTTGATCTTTTTGACTGTGTCTACTTGCAAATACGGACTTCACTGTCCTATTGGTTTCAGAAAGTCTAAGTTTCATACTAAAAAATACATATGCATTATCAACTTCTCATACAGTCTTTGCATAAAAGTTTGATATTCTTGAGGTTTCAAACCCTCTACCTTCAAAAAGCTTAAAACAAAAGAAATAAAAAAGTAAAAAAAGCCGAAAAAACATTCTAGATTAAACATTGAATTTGTATGCCAAGATAGCCCCAAAATGTCATGTTCTATTTCAGCTAATGTAGACAACCCATTTTTGACCACCCCCCATTTTTGTCATACAGGGTAGTTTAATTCTGATCAACTCGACAACGTTCACTAATCAGTTGTAACACCTCAACACTTAGTGCACATTTCCCCTCAACTCTATAGAGCCATTGGATAATTTCATGCCAACTCAAAAAAATTGGCTAGAATCAAGCATTCTCGATTTTTGTAACCAGCCATTGGTTGAAAATTAGGTTAACCTATACGACAAGTTTGTGTAAAAAAAAAATCTTTAGCTAAAAAATTCATAGTAGTTATTCTTTTGGGGAAAATGATGTGATAAAACCTGCACTCCTTCTGAATTCTATTTCTCTACATGGGGAATTTTTTAAAGTGTTTCATACTCGTACTGCAAATATGCTAAAAGGCTTAAGTGAGCAGAAATGGGCAGTCTACCTTGCTGGTTCTTTGTTGTAATGTTTTGGACTGTGCGTACTTTGTGTATTTATTTATTTATTTTAAAGTTGGGCTTTTACTGTGTCACACACTCTTGTAACTAGAACTCATTGCAAATTCATTATTTTAAAGCACTTGCAATCTAAAGTCAAACAAATAGGGAAAGATAAAATTTTAAAACGGAGTCTTATCATAATCAAGTCTATGGAATGAGGTTCCCCATCATGATCTATCCCCGTCATTCGCACACCGCCAGCGAACCATTCTCAAATACGAGAAAAATATCATAGCCACGCCACGTAGGCGTCACGTGGCAGCTAGTGGTTGAATGACGAGACACCAGTGCCCGGCCCGGCCCGGCCCAAATGGATTGACCCACCCCGTCACCACGCGGATGAATGAGAGATGATAATGAATGACATTTATGGATGTACCAAGACATACCGAATAGCAAAAGATCAGGTCATGTTCGGGGACCCGCAACCCCTTTAGGAGGGTGTAATTCATTCATCTAATTGGACTACATTCGTCTCTTGGAGACTAGTGGTTGGTAGGGGGTCGTGGTGGGTGTGGGTCAGCTGCATGTGCGTTTACCGCCAGACTCCGCGGATGGTGGAAAGCTGACAGGAGTCTGTCAGGAGGCTGTAGGGGGACCACGAAACGTCCGCGAAGCTGTTTTCTTTTGGAGGGGAATGTCTTGCACCTGGTCGTCTTTCAGTGGATGTGGTTTAGGATTGAGGCGGGATAGATCACAGCGGCAGCTGAGGTGGCAACTCTGACTGGCGCAAGGAAAACGAAATTGGTACGGACTCGGCCTTTGAGAGTGTCTGTGTTTCCATGGCTGTCTGAAGTTCATGCGTCATTTTCAACGTTTCTCCAGCGTTCCCTGTGTGCATGGGAACAGAGGTTGGTACCCTGTTGGGATCAGTTTTGGGGGGGGGGTCTTCGTACATGGTCTTGCATGGGAAGGGCTGGCTGTTATATTCTTCCTTGGCGCCTAGCTGGTCTTCAGTCTTATTTGTACATGAAATGGACAAGAGGGACAATGTTTTGCAAGATGATCATAAAATTCTACATGAGCTTCAAGCAAAAGTTGTGAAGGATAGGCACTAGTTGCTTCTTCTCTACCTGAAAATCAACAAGTGTATCTCTTTGCTGTGTAGATGAAATTGGAATGCTATGAAAGTCATTGTCACATGAATTCACATGAAGTGGTTGCAATGCTATCCAGGCTCTTTTGTCATACATATCCATAGCTGTCAATGTGGTGCTATGCCCACTGACCAGCCAATGGGGCCACCAAAGGGGGATGTTAGTCTTCACACAATATCAACCACCTAATCAAGGTCCTCTATTTGTTTTGGGTGTGCATACATCAATTTGGGGTGTGTGTGTAGCAACTTGGGGTGTGCTTGTAGCCTAAGCATTATTTATATTGAACACAAGTTAGTATTAAAAATGATTACACTATTTGAACCCATATCACTAAAATGCTTGTGATGGGAATATTTCTTTGCAGCTTACCACAATTATAGTGTTGTGCCAGTGGGAGGCAAATGAAAGCCAGCAATATGTCTGAACAACATGGAGTTCCCAAGTTGAAATCTATGCCCTTCTTTCAAAGCCATGAATTCCTTTGAATGCAGGAATACAGACAGTTAATCATAAAGAGCTGCCACAGTGAGTTTGGAGGTAGTTTTGCTTTTTAAAGTGGTCCTAGTATTCTATTATTACCTGACAGATCCAGCACGACAAAAGATTTATTAAAAAAATAAGGAAGTGTACCAGATTGGAGGTTACTGACCCAATAGAATTTTACATTACTCATTGTTATGATTAAGAACTTCTGTTTTGTCATTTTTGTGTTCCTGTTACAGAATGTAACAAAGTTCTGTATCAAAGAATTGCAATCCACCCAACCAAAAAGCCCTATTCTTGGCAAGTTTTGCCTCTCCTTTCAGAATTTATAATCTTTATTTTGTGCCATGTGTAGAGTCCACAGCATAGGTTGGTTGAAAGGCTTCATTCCACACACAAGACATGGGGATCTTCTGGCTTATTTCATGTGATTGAATGGTCACAAATGCTGTTGGAATCTGTACTGTGCTTACGTCCAATTCTGAAGTAGATAGAGAGAGACATATACATTATAACCTCTTTATATAAACTACTGTTCAAGTGGGATGAACCTGCCCTACTCCAAATCATGCTATGAGATGGCTCAAACCCTATGAACTGCCTTTGTATCAACCCACATGTATTTTGTTTGTGCCTTTCTACCATCATTCAGTAGTTTTGGATTTTAAAAAATAAATGAAGATGAAAAAATTGTGGCTACAAGCATTTCACCATAGTAATAGAATCATTCATTTTAGAACTCATATGTTTATAAATATTATAGGCTATTGCTATGTTGTGCTGGTGAAATTTTGTTAAGAGTCTTCTCATTATAAAAAATACCACAAAACATGGATTTCAATAAACTTCTTTAAATTGGCAAGTATAGGAATATTGTTGCAATGCCAAATTTTATAAAGTAAATACTTTCTAATATAAATACAAATTGACATGTTTGGAAACTATGTTAATCATTTTAGAACTCATATGAAAATGATTTAAAAATTTGCTAGCTTTAAGTCAATATGTACTTTAAGTGGATCTTTTTAATACCTTAGAATTTATTTATTCATTATTATTATTTTGTTATCATTAAGAAATATTTAGGCTTATTATTAACACTTCCTGTGTATGAAATTCTGCCTTTCTAGGTGAGCAATTTATAATCTTTACCACTCTTAAATAAAAGAAAGATAAGAAGTTATTAATCATACATGTATATATATATATATATATGTTTGAATCATAAAATTCTTGATGCCAATCTGTGAGATGTTAATATGATCCAAAAACAAAAGTCTGTTTCTGAATTAGACCTTGATAAATTTGTATGCTGTAAACTAACCTGGTCTTTGATTTCCTTTCGTGACTGAACTATCAGCTTATGCTGTTATGATTCAAATCCACAAGGATTCACTGTAATTTAGTTTGTTGAACTATTTGAAGTTACACACCAAAGATTTATGTGCATCCACCCAAACCCCTCAACATTCATCAATCCATTCATACAAATTATGTCACTCTTTATCACACCTCAACAACTTGCATTAACATATTACTTCCAAAGTAAAACAAGGATCCTCCTTATACATATACATACACACACATAATTTGTTATACAGACGTACATACATACATACATGCACATAATTTGTAAGTTGTTTTTCATTCTTCATTTTTACATTTTAGTAAATTAATAATAAAATTTGTCTGCACTCGACGTGGCATCGCTGGGACGAAGGTTTGCTGCACTCACCGCAGCTCATATCCAGCGCCCAGCTTCTGCTCTGATGTCTGCGTTGAGATTTGAGCCCAATCTCCACTACAATGACGTGAGGCTCTACGCGAAGGTTGTCATGCTGACGTCCATCGTGTTCAGAAAAGCCTTGGATTCGGGCCTGTGTCTGAACCGGAAAACGAGCTAATGTTTTAAATATACATACATAATGAGGCCAGCGGAACACTTGGACAAACCCTGCCATATGAATTGATAAATCGGAGCGAGTTTAAAAAATTGGGGTTGAATGAAGATTCCTGGATTGGGTTAAAGGCTTGTGTTTGGAACCTGTTTTTTTGCATGACAACAGTGGATGTCTTCAAGTCTAACCATGAAACTGTGCATTTCTGAGAACTACCTAGACTGCTCTTCATTCTTCACTTGCATGAGTAATAACAGAATCTTCATGTGTGTCGTGTCAGAATTTCGGAATAGAACTGAATTCTGCTGCATTTTGTCGAACACATAGCAGTGACTACATTTAATGAATAAAACAAACAAGCATTGACAGGGTAGTTTCTGCAATTGCTTCTGTGCAATGCTAACTGGTATAATCAATTAATGGAGATGGTGCTCTTTCCCAAAAGCTTCTTCTAGGTTTTCTTATGAGTACCACTGCACTGTAGCACCATTTAGTTATTTATTTCTTGGGTGGGTTCACATTTCATTGCTTACATGTGGAAGTATTCCAGGGAGTCAAAGGAGAAACTACAGTCAAACCCTCACCCAAGCAAGAATACATGAATATATGTATATATATACAGATGATAATCACTAATTCAGGTAGGACCAAAGTACCTTGCCATGCTTACTTACCTGGGTACCCAAAAGGCATTGAGGTTGATGAGATGTACTTAAGATTCATTATTGCACAAGGATAAAACATGTGTTTGCTCAACAATAGTACATGCAAAGTGTGGAAAGTTTGTCTTCTGCATGCACCTGGGTTTTGAACCCAATACTGTGTCCATGATGAGAATCCTAATTACCCCAACCATGCCAAAGTCTCCATCACTTGCTAGTCTTCCTCCTCTTCTCCCTAATGGCTAAGGATAGGCAGCAACCTTGAGCTCCAGCTACTTGCATCCTCTGAATCCTAACCCTAAACTATGACTGACTTGTACAGAATGCATTTATTCGAAACACAAATGTGTATTTATTCACTCCCTGGACACATCTAGCAATGCCTAGCTACCAAAGTTCTTCCAGTGGATGGATATCCATCGGAGATGATACACTTCAGAAGAATACTAATGGATGTCCTGTCAAACCTGTCACTGGTGTGAGTGCTGTGTTGAAGAAGGTGACGACCCAAATGCATCTAAACGTGACAATTGTAGTCAGGTTTGGAATTGAAGAGCTACTTCAAAAACAATTGTCACGTTTTATTCCAAACCTGACTACAATTGTCACGTTAATTTTATGTCTCGTTTACACCAACCGAGTTAGGTTTGGGATTGAACTACATTGCTATCCCATGAAATTGCCATGCAGAAAGCAGATCTAGAGCCGTGTTCGAATTACACGGCACGACTCGAGGAGCACTAGTCTAAAAGTGGCATATAAAAAACAGAACTTACTGCATTTTATTTGTCAGCTGAAAGTGACGGAATGGAGCACCTGGTGCAGGTTTCACCAACCGGGCAAAACATGGTCGGAATTAGGTGTCGCAGAAAGAAAGATTGCGAGATGTGCACAACAGCAATCTCGTCAAGGCTGATGGGAGATTTTGTCAATCTGAGGATTAGGTCTTCGATGACCTGAATCTTACGACCTCGCACAGTAGCGTGACTCCCGCAGGTCTAGATTCCGAACTTCCCTCCGTTACATTCTGATTTCTCTTGGCTAACCATGGGCTACTGAGCTCCATGTTTTCCTTGTGTGATCAATATTCCGGCGGAATCTGCCGCCAGGTCTTGTGCTAGTTTAGCAACTCACTGTAGAGTTTAGCGATGATAGGTGCTCACGCTCTTTGTGGAGGATACCTCCTCAAACCGCATCTGTGAAGGGTGGCCAGTAATGCTCTGCCCGTGCTGGGTATTTCTGTAGCTTTTTTGCATTGTCTACACATTATGTTGTGAATCCTTTTTCATGGTACGGTTTGTAGGGTCGTTGCGGTCGTGCACCTGCCCTTTTCCACACCGTGCTCCTGTGCAGGGAGCACCTTTACACACTTTTTTCCACACATTAGTAAGACCTGTGATGCTTCGGCCCAGTTTAAGGTTCGGTTGGGAGCTCTGAGACCATACCTGCACCCGGTAGTCTCTCTTTGACAGATCTAGGCCCAGGTCAACGACAGTGATATCAGAGTTCAATCTCGTGTGACATAGAGTTTGGGTTGTACTTCGTTTGGAACTCCGAATTTGCGGGCTTCTTTCTGTGTGCAAATCCGCCGCGAGAGTGGAATGTGGGTTATTCGCGCCCTTTTCACTGCCCAGCTGGAAGTTGGGATCTGTGGGATTGAACAAGTCGGAAGGAAGTAGTCACTCAGAGTTGATCACCATGGCCAATTTTCCTTCATTGCAAGTGTGGGCAGTGAGCAGTCCAGCGATGGCTTACGTTTACTACGGAGTGATGCGGTTGCCGAAAGGCCACTTGCGCCTTGCGGCGTCGCTGCCATTGATTGCATTCTACGTGTTTGTGGCGAAGGGGTTTGATACAGTATTCGAGAGATCGATTTACTCGTTTTTCTTCATTTGGCTGACGTCCTTCAAAATCGTGTTGCTCTGTTGGGACGATGGGCCTGCTTCCGACCCCTGGGCCATAGCATCGTTTCCTAGATTCCTCGCTGTTATGAACCTCTCCTTGCAAATCAAACGAGAGAAGTTTAGTCAGAGGTTGAAGGGTCATAGAATAAAGTCGAAATCCAGGGATTCGAACAGTGCCGCAATTCCCTCAGATGTTGCATTGAACGGCAACGAATCTAAACTCACTGAACCCCAAAAACCTACAAAATCAAGCTGGAGGTCACTTCTGAAGAGCGTGGATGGATCGCTTGACTGGCACATGGTGGTTCTTAGGTTGTTGTTCAAGTTCGTAGTTGTATTACTCATCACTTGCTCTTACGCATACCGTTCTTCGATGCCCCTAGGGTTGCTCTACGTGATCTACTCGTTCCACATCTACATTGTCGCCAGCCTGATTTTTGAAGGCATCGCAGCAATTGTGTCGCCGATGATGGGAATTGAGCTAGAGGCGGCTTTCGATAAGCCATTTCTAGCACATTCTCTCTCAGATTTCTGGGGTAAGAGATGGAATTTGTTGGTTAGTAATCTTATGCGTGTATCTATCTACGATCCAATGCTGCGATTCTTGTTGTGGAATCAGTCCGAGCACCATTCAAGAACGGAACCTTCGAATGGGGAGCAATCTAGAAGTGAGTACTCTACCCCCCTAACTCTCTGTTTTCCTACACCAGAGCGCGGACTATGTCTAACTGAGTGCACCCAACCAATCAACCAACCTCAACTTTCTCGATGCGGCCATGTGCAGATGGACCACCATCCACTATATCAACATCGATTATCTCCAAGCCGCCGCTGTGGGCGCGGTCGATCGCGATGATGGCAGCATTCTTAACATCAGGCTTGATGCACGAGCTGATATTCCATAACATGACGAGACAAAAGCCCACATGGCAGGTGACAGTCTTCTTCACTCTGCACGGCGCTGCAACATTGCTGGAGCTAGCAATTCGCCGAAAGGTTGCCTTTCGGCCATCCAAATGGATTTCCACGCCGCTCACGCTGGGCTTCACACTGCTCACGGCCGTCTGGTACTTCTACCCACCTCTTGTCGACAGCGGAACTGCCGAGGCAGTCATCGACGAATTCACATGTTTCTTCCAGAAACTACACCAATCCGTGGTGGGATTGGTGGGAGGATCTTAACACACATACACATTCACACAAGCTGGATAAGGTCCAGTAGCATATCTCACCCTTGTGAACTCCGCCTTCATCGGCTGTGTGAGTTGAAGAGGCTCTCGAAGCTCCCGACACGAAACATGTCGTGGGAGACAGCAACAACACGATTTCTTCAGCACCGAGATCTCCACACTCTTCGCCCTCCAGGCAACATCGATCACCGCAAACCACCATCAGAGTACAAAACCTGGTTCTTACGAGACCCACAGTTCCAAATGCATGTAATTTTCATTTGTGGCGCTCATGGTGTGTTGTCCTCCAGTTGGTGGTTCTGCATACCATTTTAGCCCCGTTTTTGCAATAATTATTTTGGTAGTTTTTATAGTTTTGTTTTTACCCACCTCGGCGGATTCTATGTTGAAGATTTGGCGTCTTGTGTGACTTGAAATATACGTTAAACAAACTCCATCGCTGTGGCACAATTCTGGTGCAGATGTCTCATGTTTCGACGTCATGGTTTTATCCTCTGGTGTCTTTTTGGTTTTGTGAGTTTTGTTGTTTAATGTAGGTCTGGATCTTTTTTGTATGCTGTGGTTGGTTTTGGAATTAGAAAACTAACAAGAAAAAGAATGGAAGGGTTGATGAGTATAAATAGTGTTTTTGAAACTGCATTATGTTGGCTAGGGCCGCCTATTGACTAAAAAATTGCTTCCTTAAAGAGTCAATAGAACAAATTAATTGCTTTGTTTTGGTAATTGATGTTGACAATGATTTTTACTTCTTATTATATTTACTTACAGGAGATTTTGAACAAAAGAAAAGATTACAAAATATGTCTTTGTATGTGTGTATATATATAATATAATATAAATGCACTTCAAAATGTCAAAAATGAATTATTAGTTCATAGGTTTTGATGATATTTGATTCTGTTACATAGAATTCTAATTCAAGTTATACCTTAGGAAATACCTAAAGTGTACAAATTACCTCAGTCAACAAAAATACTCAAAAAAATAAATATTTGTAGTTTTGTGGGTTTTTATAAGATGGTACTATGATTATTTTCAATAAAAACCATAGTTGCATTTCTCTTTCAAGGAATCTTATATTCCATGCTTGTACTAAGCATGTTGAAATTTAACATCATTTTGTTTGTGAGAAGATTGAGAATGGCAAGATCAACTTAGTTTTTTTCAAGACTAAAGATGTGGTTGCAAATATTTTGACTAAAAGTTTAACTTATGAGAAACATTATAAATTCAAAAAGATGATGGTAATCATTAAATTGAATTAGTCTATTATGTCTTTAAGTAGGAGTATTAAAAGAGTATTCACATACATGTATAATTTCTATTAGACATTATGTGATTACTTATGTAGATGGTTGAAACCATGATATTGATTGACAACTTCTAATTGCCATATTAGCTAATAGTCAATATATTGTTATTTCCACCTATCAAGCTATCATGTAATCTAATAAGATAAAAGTCTATATGTCAATTGGATTTCATCAGCTATGCTATTTGTTTATGTATTTGCACTAGAAAGTCCATATCAATAGACCACTCACTTGTGCAATAAGAACTAAAACTTGAGGTTCATTTTAAGTGGTTAGCTCTCTTGAATCATCATAGTTGGATAGTAAGTATGTCCAAAATATAATAGATTTTTTTTAGATCATTCATTTCAAATCTTTTGGCTAAGTAACCTATTGTATTTGAAAAAAGTCCTTTGTTGTTGCAGACTATAATGAAAACATCCATGTATAATGTAATGATAATGAATCCATTAGTATTCTTCAACACATAAATATTAGGATCTATGTAATTGATGTTTTACTTATTCTACAAATTCTTTTCAGAATAAACCTGTATAGGGGAATTCGAACTTAGGGAAAGACTAAGTGCATAAGCTTACAAGTTAGGGTCACTCAATTAACTGTAATCCGAACCACTAAAATACCAAGAAACACTACAATGCTTCCTTTTAGGAACAATACTCCTTTATCAACTAGTAACCACAATGTGCAATCATATACTCTCAAAAGACTACTCAATATACAATAATTCCCATCCAACACCAGGAAAATAGACTTCACTCCAACCAATATAGATCCACACAATTTCTGTAATCATAGACTTTCTCTATCCAAAACACCTACAACTCTCAATAAACAACAATCATAATCTTCCAATCATAATCAATCTTCCAATAACTTCTTATATAATTCAATTACATAATACTCTAATTACATAATCAATAACTCATAAATCAATCTCTGATTTATTCCACAGACTCACTTCTCAGTATTCAAAAACTATCCATTACTCTTCAATAACAAAGAAAACAAAGAAAACAAAGAAAACAAAGAGGTAGCACCAAGCTTAACCTCGGCTCATGACTATCACAGTCTGGCACCCCGACAAACTTCTACAACTCCTATATAATTCCTCCTGATTTCTAGATCCTAACCATAATCCTATAATAACTGCTTTTAATAACTAAATCAATCATCCGTCCTCTTGAATTGACTATTCTATGGACTATTAGTCTATTTTACCAATATCTTACAAAAACAAACTAATATCTATTCTACATAGCCCCACTCCTATCTGTACAACGTCTTCACAAACACACAATTGTTACCTATCTAAAAACTACTTAATAAAACTCTACAAAATTACTATTTCCTCTGGCCCACCCAATTGATCATTTGCTGCATTATCTAATGTGGGTTCTACCAATTCTTGTTCTAAATTCAAATTTTCTTCCTCTTCCAATCCGTCCATCGACTCCTTCCTCAATTGGTTTGATAGATCTTCATTATACTCACCCAATTCATGGACTTGAGCCTCCAGTTTCAAGATCTGGGCATCACGGAGTTCAAACTGATGCTGTTGCTGACTCATCCATTTTGGAACATCTTCAATTGACACTTGTGACTAGCTTCTCATTGTTAACTCTTCCGTTAATTTCACCACCTCAGCTTGTAAAACTTCAATTTCGGACCTCAACTTCTCCGTTTCGCATCTGGATTGATCACTCAATGCCTCTTTCTCTTCGCCAATAACTCTACCTTGTCTCCTTCTGCCTGCAACTGGCATTTGAATTTTTCCCATTCCAAACCCCATGTCTTGCGATTCTAGATTAATTTGTCCTATTATCCTTCCATAATCCGTAAGATGTGTTCTTTTTCTTTCATCCAAGACTCATATTGGTGAACCCATTTTTGCTCCAATACTAGTTTGGATTCCCCAATTTCTTTTATCGTCCGTTCTTGCTCTTCAATTCTTTGATTTTGCTCTAATATCACTTTCTTACTGTCCTCCAAATCTTGTTTACTACTGTCCTCTTTGTCTATAGTTCTCTTTGCACTTTCAATTGCTATGACGCTCCCTCTATCAAGCTCTTAACTAGAACTACTACTCTCGAATACACAAGAAACATAAGAAATGGTACTCCAACAAACCCAAAATGACACCACAAAATGACTTTTACTGGTGCCTCACTTCTATTCTTTTACTACTTGGTGATATTGACAATAGGTTATCCATACTGTCTGTGAAAGGCAATATGAAGTAAACTTTCTTGGTGGCCGCATTAAATTTCCGAAAATCCTGATAAATGCGGATTTTTCCATTCTTTTTCAACACCATCACGATTGAAGAAATCCACTCGCTATTTGATACTGGGTAAATAAAACCAACCGCAAGAAGCTTGTCCAATTCCTCTTTCACCATGAGGGAATATTTAAGATTAAGGCGATGTTGCCTCTACCATACCGGTTTAGCGTTCTCCTCTAAAATGATACAATGCTCACAGACGTTAGCGGAAATACCCTTTAAATCAGCATAAGTCTAAGCAAAAGTGGACTTATGATGCAAGAAAAATTCTGTCTAACAGGTCTACTCATAGTCCTTAATACCTTCGTAGACCATAATTGTCCGAAGATCTGATGTGGTCGCCATATTAATAGTTTGATATAAAGGTGCAACGATGATGTTCTATTTCAATCCCCGGGTTGGTTGAAAATCAGTCGATAAGTCCGACATTTGTGAAGTACTGAATCCTATGTCTAGGGCACTAACATAGTACTCATCATATTTGGTCATCCAATCAATACTAACATAATCAGAGCTTTCCGAATCCGTCGGGTATATCAAGTAGTCTTCCGGACCTCCACATTGGTATACCACTCCAAGGTGTTGCATTGCCTCCATGGACGCCTCCGTAATTGGTGCGACTGCTTCATCATCGGAGCTAAGCTCATTGTCTGACCTCAATTTAGATGCTAGTAATTGAGATTCCCCGTGATAGTATACTGGATACATTTATAATACCATTTTATCTCTGTCTTTGCCAATTGTCAAAATATCCTGACCCCAATCATTCTTGACCTTTGCTTGATAAAGCCAAGGTCGTCCCAATAAAATTGGATACGATAAAGTCGAACGTTGTAGATAAAAGATGATATAATCAATTGCATATGCAATACCAGTAATTATAGTTTGAACACTCCGTAAAATATTGATTAGTTTAACCCGGCTATGATTTGCCATCCGTAATACTAATGTCGTGGGTACTAAGTATTCCAAATCTAAAGCATCCATTGTATTAGCATTCATTAAAATGATGCTGGAACCACCATCCACCTGAACGCCTGAGATCATAACACCGTCAATCAAAACATCGATGGTTGGTGCACTTGGATCAGGTTCAAACTGACTTCACAAACTTCTTTATTATGTTGCCTATGCCGTGTTAATGATGAATTCAATGTAGAACGGCACTTTGGTGTGACCGCTAGAAGTTGGTTCATAGAATTAGAAGGCTGAATAGCATTCAAATCCTTCAAAATGTCATAGGATTCCATATTTAGGATAATGCCCAATGCCCTCTTTTTTTTCATTGGTTTGAGTTTAACTCCGTAAGGTAAGTTATTCTTCCACCCTAAACTCGAAATTGAAGCAGAAGAGGGAGATTCCTTGAAATTCATGCCTTTGAGAGGATCTTTCAATGGAAAGGATGTTTTCCAAAACTGTGTAGAAAAGGAAACAGCTTGAAATGGAATCGTAGCCTCCGTAATCAGGACCTCGTTGAGTTGCCCAACCAAATCATGTCTCATATTAGGTAAGAGGTCCATTTTAGGACCTCGATTAGATGGCTCTGTAATTGAGTCAAATTGGCCCTTCGCAACAAGATCATCTAAATGTTGAATTGGTCCTTTCTCATTTTGCTGATTCTTGGTAAGAATGGCTTAGACACATTCCACCCAATTTACTAGAAAATCTTTAGGACCTTGATTTATCTCCTCAATTTTTCATTGGCTTTGGATCTACTAATTCCGATTATTGAAATTGAACAAAGCATTACATTGTTGATAAGTATGCCCCGACTGCTTGCTATTCCCACACATTGGCACATAATTGTCACTGGCTGTGGGATTGGAACATTCACTAGCATAATGACCAATTTGTCTGCAACGA